TTTCTCTGCTCCCTCCGGTGTTCTCACGCGTCCATTAAATTTACATTAAATAACGAAATTGATTCGAGAGCTCGCCCGATTTCTCGTCCTACTACTTGATTATGTATCCCCTACTACTACGGAGAGGAGAAGACGGGAAGGAGAACAAGAGACAAAGAATGAAGTTACAAGAAGTTTATAAGAGGAGCCAGCACAATGGGCCGAGGGATTATTTAATGATGTGTTGCGGTCGGCTCGAAACAAACCACACTGACGTAGGTACACCATTTGGCCATCGATGTGGTAAGTATTTTCTGCGCGCAGTTGCACGTGAAATCGGAAATTACCCGGCATCGTGATTACTCTACGTCGAAAGTTTTGATCCATCGAGACTGTCAACTGAGAGGAGAAAAAAAAAAAAAAAAAAAAAAAAAAAAAAAAACAAGATTACGAGCGGGTCGACTCTATACGACCCCGTGCGCCGCGAATCAAAGTGATGATAACCAATGATCGTGTGCAAGTTGCGTCCCCGCAGAAAGAGAGAAAGTAGGTGGGGGATTGGAGTATCAGAGCTCCAACCAGGCACGAAGAGCTAACCGCGGACTGCCCACCGGCGTCTGAGTCATTGGTCAACATCGCCAATCATGTCAACTAGCTAGCGCCCAACGGCCTGCGTGGGTGTGTACACGGATATTTATAGGCAATCGCCTGGAACTCGCGCTCTCCTGGTATGACGCCGTGACGAAAAAATGATTGAGAAAAAAGGTTGTATCGGTATGCCGATCGGTGGGAAAAGCGATGGATTTTCCATTTCATGAAAAATAACATGATGAAAAACAATCATATATTTATGTTATCGAGAGATTTGTCGTAGGATAAGCAAACAAACAATCGAAAAACAAATCATCGACGATATACGTGCCACGTAGTAGGTAATGTGCGTATGTATGTGTACCGATATCGTGGAATCATAAGTGCGAGCTGGGATGATAAATCCTCGAATTGGCCATTGATTTTGCGCGCTTGTGGAGAGCCGGCCTTGGAGTTGTCTCGTTGTCGCGTGCAACACTCTTGGAATGCAAGTGCTCTCCATTCAGTTGAAAAAGAGAATAATAAGTGGTGTAGGATCGGCGAGGGGAGATATTCGAGGGAGGCTATACTCTCTGTCTTGCCGGTGACCGTGTATAGGTATATCTCTCGCCGAGGCGCGCGGGAATCGACGACATCGTAGAGAAGAGGGGAAGCCAGAGAGAGAGAGAGAGAGGAGGGTACCTACCTGTCGACTTACAAATTATACGCGCTCAACGAGATTTACGGTGACGCAAGCGAGACCATTGTCCGTCCTCGCTTCTCTTACTCCTCTCGAGCGTTGCTTCGTTTGCAGCAGCAACAGTAGTATCTGTACAAATGTCTACCTATATACCTACGTGCGTCCATGCACATATAGTACTCGTACATGCGTGTAACTATATACCCTGCACGTACTCCGTCTGTCTCTACTATACATTATTATGTCCCTATATACTTACTGACCGCCGTACTAACACGACGACTTTCATTCTTATTCCCCTCTATACCTCTCTAATCTGTTTTTCTATCTCTTTATCTGTATCTATCCGTCTGCTCGACCGTGCTTCGTCCTCCTGTCCTCCTCGTGTCTGCTGTATTTACCTTTCCTCTCGACTCGTTACGGACACATTGCATCGTTTTACGGAACATCTGCACAACTACCCATGTCGTTAGTCTTATTTGTGCCATTCTCCTCTGTATATATATATATATATATATATATATATATATATATATATATATTACATGTTTACCATCACGAAGATACTTTAATCGATTGCGCTATAACCCCCTTTCCATCTTTACCTACACATCTACTTCGATTGGCTCTCCCATTGTATTTTCATTATTGACCCTTACTCGGCTACATTTTCCCCTTGGCCGACGACAATGGTATGTATATATACAATCAATCTATAGGCACACAAAACACGCGTATCTACACGTATACTTTTCAATCCATATCCACGAATCCACTTATGCGAGCAAAAGCACCGAGAGAGATCGCGCAAAAAAAACTCACCCCCCCCCCCGGAATGCTGGCCCGATGAAAGAGAATCCGGTCCCGCGGGAGACCTATTGCCTATACATATACACGGGAGAAGAGGGGAGTCGCTCGATTTCACATGTAAGTATATATATAGTATATACCTGTTGACTGCCGATGCTTTGACACGTCGTAGCTGCACGCCCAATATATAATGCGAGTGGGTGGGATACAATACCTATCCGTATAATAATCATGCTGTACCTGACTCTCCACTTTTTTTCTCTCTCGGTCGACTGCTCTGCTGTTTCTTAAATGCAACACGAGAGACCTGCACTGCTTATTCACGGAATTTTGCGGCAAATCGATAATAAGTGCCTTCGCACTGATGCTGGTTGCGGGTTGGATGGGGGGGGGGGGCAGGAAGCATATCCTTAAACGGCTGCTCGTTACCGGACAAACACGGAGCGAGAGAAAGACTCGGCCTCTCTAATATGTTTATCAAACATCAACACACAAGCCTGATGACGTGCAGCTGTCAATGGGCCTATACACGTGTGCGCGCTCCGCTGCAGCTGGACGCCTCTTTTTTTTTTTTTTTTTTTTTTTACTTCCCATCTCCTCGGCTGTGCGAACCGATTATTATCCAAATCATCGCCTTTGAGCCAAGTGCGCATGTATTATACAAGTATACGCGCGCGTGTGCGTGTGTAAAGCTACTCGAGAGAAAGTCAAGCACGCGCTGAAGCTTTGGAAATTAAGCGCGTTATGCTTCGGCACTTTTCTTCTCTTCTTCGTAGGTGTATACCTGATCTCCTCTTCGTCTGACCCTTTTTCTTTTTCCTTTCGTTTTTTTTTTTGTGTTTTCAAGAGGACGTCAAACACACAGGGGGCGCCCCCTCGATCGGTGCCTCGGCTCCGTGTGAATTTCCTGCTTTTGTCCTAATATTCTGGAATCTCACTTACACACGGTAAGCTGATCGGGCTCTTCTTTTTTTCTCCCCCACCCCCTCCCCCCGTTTTTCCTAAGCAAATGTTTTCGTTTCGGGACCCAAAAAGTATAAGCTCAAATTACTTCTTGCGGATTAATTAATCAAAGCACGTAGATGTACAAAAACCTGTAGACAGTGCTCGAGCAGCTCAAATATTCCACACCTGCGGAACTGCGGCATAAGTAACGAGCGAATCGAGAGTGCGTGCGCATAATCTAAAGTTAAAAACAACAAATAGGAGACTGCAGTGGCGTGTGCGAGTCGAGCGACACTAAGTATTCTCGCGAAAAAGAAAAAAAAAAAAAAGAAAAACAAGGTCACGTCACAAACTGGGTGGACTGACGTATAATGGCATATATAGGTATAGTGGTACGTGCGTTTTATTTTAATCATTTGGACAAGAAGAGCGTGTATCGTCTCGTCTCGGTTACTAAATATAATATATATGCGAGAGGAACTACGTGAGCCACTATGTAGGTATATTATAGGTATGCATACAGCCATCAGCGGAGTTGTGCGTCCCCCGTGCACTGATAACACCTCTATATCTCCGCTCGCAAACATTTACATACTAAACAGGCCGCGCACACGCTACCGGCTAATTTACGCCGCTGGAAACTGACGTGCGAGACAGGCACACACACACATACCAACGTCCTCCTACGACTATATAATAATATATATACACAGAGAGGGGCACATGCCTGCGCGTGCAGCGACTTGGATTTCCTTATCAGGAATCCCGCAATTAAATTACCACAGCAAATGTATCGGGTAGATAGTCAATATCTCCTGTGCCTCGAAAAATCACCGGGAGCCCAAGTGAAATGTCTCGTTCTTCGATGTATATATACATGTAAACCAAGAATTTCGCGCGCGTGTGTGTGTGTGTGTGTTCGCGTGCCAACCTGCCAGCAAAATCCACACGAGACGAGACAACGTCGCGACGACTTGTCCATTTTAATTTATGCCTAGTTAGGGGTGTATTTACATTCATATCATTAAAAGGTGAGACCATACACACACATACGCAGTGGAATGAGAAGGAGGGGGGTCCCAAAGAGAGAGAAACAAAAGCGCGGACTCGTCGTCGCATATTAAACTATTAATTAAATTCGAGGGAGGGGAAAAAAGGCACAATTTATGTGCGGTTAGCATAACGAGATTAACTGGTCTGCGGGTGCACTGTGTATACATTATATATATATATATTATTATAAATGTATAATCAACATGAAGCTGCGCCGACGCGACAAAACTAACAATTCCAGCTGCAATTCGTGGATAAATTGCATCAAGTAGGTACACCATTGTAAGTACATTTGTAAAAACCGAGTCGATCCACGCGCAAAACACCCATAAGTAAGTAGGTATAGGTATTTTTCCGCGCAAAAATAATCATCGCACATGTAGCTCAAGTGAGCTGTTGTTGTCTGTCTCTGCATCGGAGTTCTGGCCGATTGTTTAGCCCCACGCCGGGTCTTTGGAGCACCGCTAAAGCCATCCGAGTGTTTGCCTTAGCCGCTACGGCATTTATGACTCTCACGTGTCGAAAACGAGTCCGGCTCCCCTGCCCGTAGTCCGCATATATATCAGGTGGGTACATATATATATATATACATTGTGTGCGGGCTCTCTTTTTATCTCTCCCTGATTCACTGTCACGCACGCGCGCGAGCGCTCATATGCTCGCTATTGTATATAAATCATCTCGAATGCCTGACGTCGTCGCCGCTGCGGAGTGACGTACAGAGTTGTCACTCAAAGCGTCCCGCGGCGGCGCGGATCTCTTCACTCTTTCTCAAATATTTATCTTTTCGGGCGATACACGAGCACGTACTATATCATCTATACTTGTATATACTCCGCGGCTCGTTCCCATGAAAAGTATAAACTTTTCGAATTGAGTGGAAAAAAAAAAAAAAAAAAAAAAAGATTGGTTAACAATAAGCCAATAAAGTTGAAGTACTCACCAGAAAGAGTTGGTGACGGGGGCGAGGAAGAGGAGGCAGATCGCCACGAGAACGGGGCGCATCTCCATCCTCCCTCCCCAACCCGGTTAACTGTCGCTCGAGTCGGCTCTAGCCCTTCGGTTTCGGCGACGACGTACGCTGCAGGACGCGTCCACTGCCGATGTCCCCGCAGGCATCGGCGCTCGAACTCATCACTTGCCCGCTTATTTACGTATCGTACGAAAAATGTATGTTTACGTATACCTACTAGTTCCAAGAATCACCGGCGTCTAGTCCAGGCATGCTCGATGCCTAATTATGATTATACCGACAACTCGCGAAGCAACAACGACCCCTTCCCCGCTCTGCAGGGGAGCGACCCTCGCTGGGACGAAAACTGTTTATCCCGCCGTGGGCTTGGTCCTCTCGTGCAGCTGCGCCATCGGTGCTCCAAAAAACTGTACGCTGCACTCTATGTGAAACACCACACACAATTCGCCCAAGATTCAGTAGAAAAAGCCCGAGCACGGAAGGGCATCGGCGAAAGGTCAAGCGGCGGCGCGTGTTTCTCGGTCGGTTCCCCACTTGACCTATTGTTGCCCGTAGGCTCCTCGTTGAATGTTATACATGTCCTCCTCCTTTTGTTGTGCACTCCCCACCCTCATAACTTGCGTATAAATCGGGTTGATATAGGTATAATATATACATATATACACTGCACGACGGAGAGACACACGAGTTAGCGGCCGTTTCTATAACGTTTCGGTCGGCTTCCGGCGGCGGGGCAAAAACACGAGCCGCGCCGTAGCGTTCCTGCCACAACTACGTCACTGGGATCTTTGAGTGCTCGCTTACCCCCACTCCTCGGGCCAGAGCTGCTCTCCTCGTTCCGTCTCCGTTGCTCCGATGCTCCGTGGGATACGCAAGTATTGTAGCCGGCTAGCCGCCGCTCCGCTTGGCTCTCTCTCTCTCTCTCTCTCTCCCCGACGATGCTGGCTGGACGTGGTGCGGCGAAAACCACGGGCATCACACGCATTCACTCGTGCACCTATACTTATGGGAGTGAGCTTGCCGCGGAGAAGGAGAGAGATCGAGCTTGGCTCCTCTAAAGTCCACCGCGAGATTGCCCCCTCCACACGCCTGACTTTAACCTGCATCCTCCTCCCTCGCCTACATACATACATGTATACTATGCGTCTCCTTCTTCTTCTTCTTCTTCTCTGAAGTGAATGTACATCATATTATATATAATTAATATGTACATGGCAGAGAAATAGAAAATACGCCATCACCGTGTATACAATGTAATATGTGCTACTGGTTGATATACATCGTGATCATAAGTATGGGTGGGTATACCAGCACCACTATTGCCTGCCCTTTTTCGTGCAGCGCAATGCTTCGATTAGCGCATCGCAATCAATAGCGAACGGACCGAACCAAATTCATACGTTTTTACATTTTTCGTACATTTAGCCCTCAAGTGCGGTACTTAATCTGAAAGAGAGATTGAAAGCGATTCGGGCTTCCCCGTAAAAAGTGTATTTCTCGTTTATACAGCAGTCTGCACAATGTCGATCAATGGGAATTGGATGGGAAAAAAAAAAAAAAAAAAGGGAAAAAGATGAACTCGGAGGCTAAATATTCAGGAGGTGAGCAAGTTATTCCATGCATTAGGTATGCGCTAGTTTTTTATAAAAATGGCATTGCATCGGGATTTTTGTTCGAACACGGGATTCTGCAGCCAAAACAATCCCAATAATGCGATGAATCGGACGAGATTGAGCAAAAAAGGGAGATACATTTTTTGTAAGGACGAAGAATGTGTATACACAAAGGGGTTCGGGTGGAATGGATGAATGAGGGAGAAGGAAAAAAAGAGAAGGGGGGAGGGAAAGAGGAAGCAGGAGAGTAGTGTATAGACGAAAAACCAAAGTTCGGTCGCTGCCTTTTTGCACAGGACTAATCAGAGAAGCGCCAGTCACCACCGAAATCGGGACATTCCTTAACTTCTGAAATCCTAACAAGCCCTTCCCACCCTCCCATTCTCCATCCGATCTCTTTTATCCGCTCTCGATTATTTCTCGATGTATGAGCGCATAATGATGAAAAATCGTAAATAAGGTAAAAGCCGGCCTGTCCGCGTGTTTTCTGTCCCCCCCCCCCCCGAATTTTTTACGCGACTGATTGATGTGTGACTTCCGAATAGGTGATTGTTTATTTGGGATCGCAATCGCCGAGCGGGAGAGGAAGGGTTGGAAGGATACAATTTATCGAACAATCGAATTGTCAAAGGTACGCAATAAATACGAGAGGCGTAAAAAACCGTGGGTCGCGTACTTTCCGCGCTATCATACGGATCTTTTGTAAATGTCACGATTTTAAGCTTTTATGCTGCTATGCTTGCCTGAGTTTGGTGACTCATGGATGACGCAGTGTATCCTTTTGTTCCTAATTTCTTAGCCTCCCATCGAACGCGGGTCCATCATCTCATCTCTATACCGCGTCACGAGTTCTTTTGTCTTGCTTTATAATTTGTTTTGTGTATAGCACTAATCACACTCATTTTTTATTTTCTTTCCTTACATTTTCTCAAGAACTAAGCAAAATTAATCGAAACGGTTAATTTTAATGTGTTTTATAGCGGAGAAAAAAAAAACATGAAAATGTTACTATCCAGTGTAGATGTAAAAATATCAAAGGAAAAAACTATGGAGGAATGAGTCGTGATGATTATTCACGTGTTATTGCTACCAGTTTCTACAATTAATAGGTTGAGTGCTATCAACGATGCCAATACTTACACATTTGGGAGTATTTGAAGAAAGAGATGGACTCGAAGTACGTAACTATATTATTGCAACGAAACATAGTATTTCCATGGCAAATAGGTTGCACGTGTGTCCAAGCCGTTTTTTTTTTTTTTTTTTTTTCTCGCACTATTATTAATATTAGGTGAATCAAAGGGGCATTGAGCTCGAGGCGACAACACCAGTTCAGTTAAGAGGAATCCGGAGACGAAGCCATCGGAATCAATCCATTAGAGCAAGCTACCTTTGCGATTCATGCGCGTGTAATCGTGAAAGGAGGAACCGACTGTTGGCTGAGTACCTACTGCACAAAAGTCTCTCGATCAACCGAGTCGCCAATCGAAAGAGCACTTTATCCAAACTCGTGTGTGTTGGTATTATTATACATGGGTACATGCACAGAGGGCGAGTCTCGCGAATGGGGCTCGGACTGCCACGAGCTATATATACTTGCCTACCTACAACACAAATGAAAAGAGAAAACAAGGAAGGAAAAAAGGAAGAGCACGAGGAGATAGGTGTGCATGTGCAGAACGGCGACCAGCGGGGTTCCATATTACAGCTCATTTAGCAGCGGGGTCCTGTATGTATACATATATATATATATATGCACCCTTTCCCTTTTTGTATATTTTCTCTCTCGAGCTGTACCCTCTGACGGCCAGCGGCTATCGAAAACAGGTCGAGAGCACACGCGGACCCCGCAACGGGATCCCACCCGATGTATACGTAAACTACTGCGATATGTATGTATATTATCTCCTCGCTCCACCAAACATCATCTCTCGATCAACTTACCCCGACCCCCTTCGTACCGCCGCGCGTTCCCAGAGAGTTCCCAGATTACCGTTCGGGTCTACTTTTTTTTTCCCCCCCTTTCGTTTGATTGCGTCATTTCGATCGCTCTTCGTTAAATCGATCGTACGACTCGAACATGTATCGATCGACCAACTAAACTCCACACGCCAAAAGTTTCATGCTTCATGTTCAACTCGATGATTAAGTTGAAATTGTCTTTAGCTCAATGGTATGTTTTTATGTATACGCGCAAAAGAGGGAGAGCCAACGGAGAGGAGCTCCAGCTTCTCACGGTATAATCCCGGTTGGTAATAATGAGGGTGGATGGCCGCGCGTGACAAAAATAAAAAAAGTTTGTCCACTTGACACAAAGGGTTACGTGCGCCTCCATGGTGGCCCCTCTCTCGTGCTAATTTCGGCCGGTAGTGTGGGTGCACAGACACAGGTGCCGCAACCTGCACCACCTTCTTCCCCTTATTCCTCCTTCTCGTTCCTCGCACACCTTTGGTTTTGCCTTTTTCTCCTTCTTCTCTCTCTCTCTCTCTCTCTTATTATTTCTACTTCTTTTTTTCAGGCCAACTTGATCAATGCTAAAAGTGGAAGTAAAACAGTCTCTCGGAAGAGGGCCCAAGCAGGAGGAGAGCGAGCCAACGCACACACGTGTGAAATCCCCGGTAATTTATGGCTGAAACTAATTACCAAGGAATTCAGATTCTTGTCCATAATCTCGGACCTTTCTTCTCCTCTTGTACCAACCTCTCCCAGCACCGTCGGCTCGACTTCTCTTCTCCCTTTGCTTTTTCGTTCCTCTTTTTCCCTCCCTTTCCCTTTTCTTTAAAAATCGCCTTACCTCGCCTCACATTACTTACTCCGGAGCTGCGGTGTGTCCGGCATTCAGATGGAAATCCAGAGAGAAAGCCCAATCGATCGAAAGCGCGACGCAAGCTCGTGCCGAACACAAATCCAAAGTGGTACATCGGGAATGGTTGCTTTTCTAAAGTCGAAAAGTCGGCGATGTCCCCCGAAAATTCCTGCAAGTGTTTCCACCTCGGAAGAGGGCGCGTGTGGATAGGTACGTATGTATCCACGTTGGGGGAGAACCGAGAGGGAAACAAAAGAAAGAAGAAAAAAAAACAAACACGTGTATATATTCGGGGAAAGGGCAGGGATTTTTCGGAAACCATTATTAGGCTCATAAAAATTTCACGTTTCTCCAAAAGTAGTCACGACGCCTCTTCCAAAACAGATAACATCGCATTAACGCGCCCGAGAGAGATGTGCATCGGATAATTATTATGATTATTGCGTGGGCACGGGACATAGGTGTATACAGGCACATGGTGTATACACATATATACATTATATAATAAGGTATAGAAAATGCGAATTTCCCCGCCCAAAATTAAGTGTACCTTTCACACCGCCGGGAAATAGCACCTGTACCTACACCTGAATTAACCACGCGCGCTCGTACCTGTATTCGTGTATCTGTGGTGGTCAGGAAAAATTATGAGCCGAGTGACCACGGAGTCGGCGTCAACAACGTGAGATGGTCATCGTCAGGTTAAAATGGGCTCGGGAAATCATAGGGTAATAACAGGTGCAAACTAATTTCCACGGGTAATAATTCACGGAGAAACGACAG